ATGTAAAGAGCTATACTATTTGCCTCGCATATTCATATAAAAAATCGGGATGAATTATTTCACTAAAATTTATTAGGATTAAGTGTTTATAACAAGGCTCTATGGCTAACCATTTCTCAAATTGTTTGGGTACTTAAAACTAACTACATCCTTGTTTTCCCCTTCAGTAGTATCTGTCTTTCGAGCTCTGTTTTGGTTCAGTTCAGATTGAGGTTGAATAAATAATTTAACTACTGAAATAGGTCAATCCTAGAAGAGATTTTCATTAATATACATATATACATATATTAGTTGTCTATTACCCATAACACAAAGCTTTAGCTAGCTTAACTTGGGTCTAGATGGTGTTGTGTAATTTATCCTGAGATTATTATTACCACAAATAATATAATATTACATATTATTACTATCCAAAAAATAAAAAACTTATTGTGTTATAAAAAGATATAAAGAATTGTATGTCTAATTCTAAATCTGTTAAAAACTATTAAACTACTAATAATACCAAGTTAACAAGTTACCTATGAAAAACGGTACAACAGACTTTATAAATGTTCGTCGAAGCTAAGTGTCCATAAAATATGTCTGTAAAGGGGACGCCTGAATAGAGGTCCACTAAGGAAATCCACGGTAAATAACGCGCGTTTCAGAAATATATCAATAGCGAGTAAGATGGATGGGAGAGTATATATAAAAATATACGAGAGAGTGAGTACGAACTCATTTATTGTCGTGGACTTATCGTGGATTATTTTGGAAACTTATTTTTAACTTGGTCCTCTACGTGGTTCAGTTTGCGTGGGTTTTGATAGCCTTCATACCATAGTTTTCCAACCATTTCAGTATGCTACCGCACCATAACCTTTCTAAAATTCTTATCACTTCCCCCCACCTCAGGTAACATTAATTTATAACGTTAAAAAATGAAATGTTCATTCAAAATAACAGATAGGTTTCAGGAAGACATCACTAGGTTATTAAAACAGTAAGTAAATTTCAAAAAACATAAAAAATGAACTGCAGCTTCCATTAAAATTAATAAGGAGTCCCCCTTAAGAATCGAATTGTCGCCCTATGGGGCCCCACGTTGGGAAACACTGCCTTAGACAGTCGAGAATATGTGGTAATATTTACTACATATTTACAGCCTGTCAACAAATATTTGACTTTAGTTATTTCCTGTTTACTTGTTACCTTTTTTGTGTGTTTTTTTCATATTACTGCACTTCCTGTGGGTGTTCTTTACCACAAATATAAGTTCTGTCTATCTATCTATACAGCTGAATTTAAATATTTCCTTTAAAAATTTCTACAGATACTAGCTACTATGTACTAACTATACTATACGAAGTCGTAAGTCGTACGCGTGGAAAATAACTTTTTTTTAATTATAGTTAATAAAATTATATACATTGAAAGTTGCCTAAGTTACTTCTTATAACATTAGCTATTTACGAGTGAAAGTCCGGTCAAAGTCAGTCTAGCCATTTCAGAGATTAGCAAGAAAGATAAAGAGTCAGCAATTTTTTTTTTAATAATTTTATGCTGTTCAAAAAGTTTCTAAAATATGCTCTAAATTGTTTATCTGTACTTAATATTGAATTGGATTCTAAATTTAAAAAGTCTTATTATTTATCTGTAGGCGTCATAAAATGCGTAATATTGAATTCGAAGTGTTTACAATTGTGCCATGACAAGGCCAGGAATATAGGTTCGTGTCTTCTCGGAAGGTAAAATTGTTTAACCTAATATTCGTCATTGTTTCATCTTGTTCATACAATATATATAACGCGTATGTACATTGTTTACAAAGAATGTTTGCGCAGAATTTCCAGAAACTTCTCGTTTTACTTCAACAATATTATTATATTACCATGCATAATATGTATATAGCCCTATCGGCTATCGACTGTAAGGCTGACCGTATATTGTTAGAAATTTCGTTAATACATATGTATATATTGGATAAATACTAACTAAATTTCTTATTAATACACCGTAAAATAGAATTATACTTTCAAACATTAAAACATTTTCTTACATAAAAGTTACTTATGTAAACTAAAAATACGTACTAAAAGTAATGAAAAATGTATGTACTAAAAGTACTTTTATATAAAAAAAGTCTTAATGTTTAAAAATTTGTAATCTTAACCACGATTGTTTATATTGGTTAAGAAGTTTTTTAAGCATATTTTGTATGAATTTACAAAAAGAAAACAATTCTATATTTCTATCAGTTATCTAGTACCTACCCATAATACGAGTTATGCTTAGCTAGAGACTAGATGGCGCTGTGTGAATTATCCAGAGTCATTATTATTATTTCGTTTAATTTTCTCAGCTTTTGATAGTTTACAGTTTAAAACCAAGTAAGTGTAGTCTCTGCATTTGTGTGATAATGTCTAATTTACGTTATAGGTGTTTAAGTATTTCTTCTCAGTTATCTAGTACCCATAATACAAACTCTGCTTAGCTTGGAACTAGATGGTGCTGTGGGGATTAACCGAGGTTATATCACTATCACTACATAGTATAAAACAAAGTCTATCCGTCTTTATGTATGCTTAAATCTTTAGGACTATATGCAACGGATTTTGAAGGGGTTATTTTTAATAAATAGAGTGATTTAAGAGAAAGGTTTATATATATAATGCATGCATACAATACAATATTTAATATATACAAATACTTTACAAATTTGTAGAGAAACACTAATAAATTTAGAGTTTTCTAATGTGATGTCTAATAAACACATTTTTTTGAGCTTACATTGCAAAGGCTAGCTGAACCCCACGAGATAAATCAAACTAACTGACTTATAAGATTTCTAACGGCTGAAGTTTAAGCAATTATAAATAATACTAGCACAGTATCCAGAGAAATATACATTACTAAAACACTTAATTCAATCAAATATATCAAAAGTAATACCCAGAGGTGAGGGAAATAATGAATTTGGGTGGGTAAAATATCTAGTGTTTCGTAACTATTTGGAATCATTGCAAATGCTAATTTCACATACTCACTGTGTGTTACAGTTGGAGTTAGTTACACAAATATCCCCAGGGAGGTCCTTTCATCTCCTATTTTAATTACAAAGAGATAAGAAACATAATTTTATAATTAGATTTAGGTATATTCATATATCTATTAATATGCTACCAAAAATATACTAATCAAAATGTTAATGATATCACTAGGGACTTTACATTTCTCTCAGAGACTATTAGTCTTGTATGCATTCATAAAAATATAGCAATTCATTTATACTAATATTATAAAGAAAAAATATTATATATTAGTCTTTTTTGTAAATTATTTTTTATAAAGACATAAAATGAGAGTGTATGAATATAGCTGTTAGATTTTCATATGTATATGAAATATATATGAAATGTTAATTATTGGATAGTCTCAGTGGTCCAGTGGTTTTTAGCACACCGCCTTACATCCGGTGGTTGCGAGTTCCGAGTTTGATTCCCTCTCACTTCCGTCGTCACTCTATCTGTTCAAATATTTGTAAGTTATCTGAATAAAATTATATTCTCAAACATGCGGAAAAAGCATTCTCAAAGAAATCATTACACATTGTTTTTAGCAATCTCAAAGAAAATATTTTTGTTACAATTATGTATAATCTGATTGCATAATAACAAAGTTAATACAAAATAAAAATAAATATTGAACACAAAGTTTGTACCAAAATAAAATCGATTACCGACTCATGGCATTTGTATGGCGTTCAAACGATAGAAAAATAATCATCAATTTTTTTTTATATTCACAAAAAATAATAAATGTGTTCTTTTATAAGAACAGTAAGATTTATAGAGCACTAGCTATGTTCATTGCCATTTCTTCCTGTAATTAATGAATGAATCTGAATATGGCAGTAGAATAAAAAATACTAGAAACAGTGCAAAAGCGTTTAAGAATAAATTTATATAAATATGAAATTAACTTAAAATACGAAATAACTATTAGTGCCCGCGGTTTCTGCCGCGTTTAATTTCAATATGATATATAATGTATGTGTTATTCTGATGTATAAGCTATATTACTGTAAGTTTAATCAAAATCCGTTCAGTAATTTTTGCGTGAAAGAGTAACAAACATCCATACTTATAAACTTTCGCGTTTATAATATACTAGTTACTCGGCCCGGCTTCGCACGAGTGTACTGTAATATATATATAAACCTTTATCTTGAATCACTTTATTTATTAAGAAAAACCGCATAGTTTTAAAGATTTAAGCATACATAGGGACGGACAGACAGCGACAGCGATATTATTTTATACTATGTAATGATGATTAAGATTAAGATTAGAAATGATTATTTTTTAATATGTTTAAAAAAAAATTAGAACTATGATCATACCGACGAGATCAGGTATGGAACCTGAATATTCGGTACCTGTATTCATAGTACGGCCGCACATCAAAATGCGCGATCATGCACGTGAGTATCATGTTGATGGCCTGTTTTAAATATACGTTTATTTATTGCGTTTACATTTCATGCTTAATTCTGTCATTATTACACACAATAAAGTCTATACACATGTTAAAAATAAAATTCAACTAATTTTCTACGTATAAAGTAAAGGGTTGCAGGATTTATTTGAATTTAAATAGAGTTTTGAAAACAATAAATGAAAGGAATTATGGGGAAAACGGACAATGCTACTACGTGCAAACGAAAAAGGGGCGATAAATATAATGGGAATTCGTGATACGTTCCCAACGATTACAACAGGCATTCGAAGTTCGGACACACAATTGTCATTTAAATCCTCCCAAATGAATCGTTTGTGGGACTCCCTCATGTGAAAGCCACAGATTAAATAATTTCGAACGCCGAATCTGTTTGTTTAGCAGTACGCACGCGGTTCCTTTGCAACTTAATAGAATGATCCTGCTGCGCTAAAATCTGACGCCCGAGTCAGGTGCTTTTCTCGGCTTCAGTACTGTACGGGAATTTGTATAGGGTGGACGTTACTGAACCTATCCGTTTTGGCGGCGTTTTCCAATTTCGAATTAAACTTGGAAAATAGAATTCTATAATTGTTTTTTATTATGTAACTGTTTTTATTAAAATGCTCTTGTTAAAACTTTCCGGCCAGTTCGAAAGCAGCGTTATTTAATTAAAACTTATTTGTTATTCGTTTTTGAAGTTGTCACGTGCTTAGTGCTTTTTTAGTGTACTTTTTTTATGTGTAATATCGACAATGTCAGGACGAGGAATGATAACGGTTTCATCGTTATTCATGATGCTTATCGGAGGTGAGTTTTTTAATTTTCGCATAACGCTTTCATTTGTATTTGAGATAAGCGCAGACACTGTATGGAAATGATTTTAAATATTTATCATCCTTTTAAGCGCCAGGAGGAAATTGAATTTCGCTGGTGTTACCATTTTTAATAAATTCCGGTCAGGACCTTATAATATCATACGTACATTTTAAAATGTATATTGGATTATGAGGTTCACATAGCAGTATTCTCATAATGATTTTGGCATTTAGCTATTACTCGTGACTTTGCTTGCAATTTAGAATTTATTAAGATGGGTATAGGATAATTATATATTGTATAACGTTATACGATTACATATTACAGAATGGGATAACAGTACCATATAATTGGATAAAGTCGTTAAATTTATATTAGTGTTTAAAATTTAAAATAATACTTTTAAAATTAAAAATTTAAAGTGGAATAATATAATTTTATTTCATATTTTGGTATGTCACTACTATGTTAAAATATAAATACGTGGACTGTGTACTCAGATCTATTATTGTTTTTAAATATTCTTTAATTTTCATCTAAGGATTATATTTAAGTTTATTGTTTTGTTCATTGTTTTAAAGTTGATAGGTACCTACGTATAGTTTTGTGATTATGTATTTTTTTTTATGTATGATAATGGAATGGTACCCGCCTGCGCTATCGGTATACACTGGCGGGACACCAGTGGAGGATGATAAGATGAGTCAGGTTAGTTAGCCCATCGTGACAAATTCACCAGGAATTTATCACGATGGTTTCCAGGGGGAACCACGTGGAGGTCAACCTGACATGGTACATTGCTAGTAATGGGGTCTTGAGTCCACATTACTAACAATTCCTTTCCCCCATGATAACGTATTTGTTAAAATAATGTTAGAAGCAAATGTTTGAAAATAATATTTTATATGAAAATTAAATATGAGACGGATCTTCAAAAATGTCTGTTATATATACAGCTATTTACAAACACACATGCAAAAACATATATACATACCTACTTATATTTTTTTATTGTACGAATGGCGCTTCCGCCTGGTATAAGCTGGAGAATCACCAGTGGAGGAGGTCAAGTCAGTTAGCCCGCCGTGGGCTATTTACCAGGAATTAATCACGATGGTTTAATAGGGTAATCACGTGTAGTAGACCTAATAGGGTTTTTTATAGCATAGGAGACAAACAAACTTACGGCTCACCTGATCGTAAGTGATTACTGACCATGGTGTGCTCATGGTCGGCAACATCAGGAGAATTGCAAGTATCTACATTGCCGACTTTTTAAGAAGAAATAAGCTCTTGTAGTTTTCTATATCGTATCTATTCGGAAATACCATTGCTGATGGTTCTACAATCTGGTTATGCATGGCACAAAGTTTACATTTTAAACATGTAGACATTTTAACAAGCATAGTCCGATATGAGTTCCTGTTACTGATTTAATTATATCCTTTAGATAAAAATTCAGTATACGCTACTGTATTTTTATTTAAAGAAAATAATCTGGTCGTCTCTACATTCTCCCTAACTGAATTCATAAAAAAAATCTGTTTTTGTAATCATCTACAAACCTACTTGAAAATAATATGAGCTGACTCTGTCAGTGTTTCTTAGCTCAAAAGTACTCCGAACTGTCGGTACATTTGACATATAAAATAAAAATAAAAAATCTGTAATAAACCTATATGTGTACTCAAATGCGTGGTAAGACTACTGATGAAAATATTTCATTTTGTTAAAAATGCAGTAGCATATGCTGGTGGTCGCTACATTGTCCCTAATCGAATTTATAAATGAATCTGTATATTGATAATCATGTATTCTTTAATAACATGTAAAATTAAAAACATATATTTAACACAGAAACTTATATAAAATTCCAGAAACAAATCCAACACTACAGTAATAGCATTTCAATCAAAACCCACAGATTAGCTCATCATAAAAAAAATGCACACATAAATATATATATGTAGCTATTTATTCATATATATTTGTATCTGTATCATTCAATATATTAACATTTGCACCACCAAGAATTATTCTCTGCACCACCCATGGTTGACTGGTACATAACGCCTCATGGTGTTAAGTCCGCCATATGTATTTTAAAATTATATGTATTAAAGTTTAAACATATGAATAAATAAATATGATAAAGCTAAGAATTTAGCGAAGCTACACAAATTTCAATAAACTACATCTAACAATCTTAATAACCTAAACAACCTGATGGACACCTTGGAGAATATAATAAAAATAATACTAGAATAATCATAGATATATATATATATTCTTAACATGAGACACCTTATCAGTAACCTCCACCTATGTCGAGAGAGAGAGGGAAAGCCCACCCTAACATGCGGCTAAATTAATGAATCAATTGAAGTGAAAATGGCAACAGAAATCCGTCAACGTTAATTAAATGTAAAGAATATGCTGCCGGTTTATTTACTCTAATATGATGACTAATTAAAACGTGTGTTTGTCTGTCATTACTGTATAGGGAATATATAAATTTATTTGTTTATTTATTTAACTTTAATGCACACAATATAATATATAGTAAAGTACATTTGGCGGACTTAACACCATGCGGCATTTTCTACCAGTCAACCATAGGTGGTGCAGAGAATAATTGTTGGCGGTGCAAAATTATAAACATAAACAAAATGCAACAAAATATAAATATATATACAATATATATATATATATACTTAAGAGATACAATAATATATAACATAAATATATACAAATATACACACAAATGTGTACTTATAAATGCAATAAACTTATATATATACCAAATAGTCTGACAGTCAGAGAACTAAAGAGATTTAAATGGCTAAAAAAAAAGTGAATTCAGAGAAGAGAGAAAGTTATAAATTCAAATAATATTCCCGTAGTTTACGTTTAACAGAAAATTTATTTAATATATATTTATAAATGAAGAGTAATCAATTATATATCATTTCTATTATATTGCACTCCTTTAAAACCTATTTAAATATCTTTATTTGCCATAAAATTATTCAAATTCAAATTCAAAGATCATTTATTCATGTAGGACATTTTAGCCGCTTATGAAAGTCATTTTTTACCCTACCGTCCAGTTCAGTATACAGTCTAATTGAGAACTGGCAAGAAACTAAATTGAATTTTTTTTGGAAGCCAGTCTATTTAAAATGTATAGTTATATACTTAGGTGTCTATATCTAACATTAAATGAAAATCCCATGCATTAACAACTATAGCCATGCACACTAGTCATTCAACTAATTCGTGTTAAGACCCAGTTAAATATAAATGATTATTACTACTTCCTATCAGATGAACCCTCAGTTTGTTAGTCGTTGGACCCTAATCGTTAATATTAGGGTCGCTATCGTTAATAACCCCATTGCAATGTACCACGTCTGGTTGACCTCCACACGGTTCCCCTAGAAACCATTGTGGCAAATTGTCAATTGCCAAAAAGGGCTAATTGACTTGACTTCATACTCATTTTATTACCCTCCACTGGTGCCTCGCCAGCGTAAACCGTTAGCGCAGACGTGTGAAAGGTGCACATTAAAAAAAATGCTGTTTCGGTATTGCTAATACAATAAAAAAAACGGAAAATGTGTCGACAACAAAACTGTAACTTCTTTATTGAAGTTAATTCTCATTAAACTTTCCACTTTCTGAAGTTTGTTTGAGAACGTGCAGAAGGAGTTGGGAAAAAATCAACTGCTCTTACACAGACTTCACGAAGACACTGTTTTTTTTTTTAATTTATTTCAGGCTACTAACATACATATGAAATCCTTACATTCTTATTAATATTACGAATGCGAAAGTAACTCTGTTTGCTTAGCTCGGAACTAGATGGCGTTATTGTCCAGGGATATTAATATTTTTACTTTGCAGACAGTATCGCACAATTAAATACTACTAGTAAATTCTCTGAAAAGCATGCAGGGCAATTTACATAAATGTAATTCTTACTTAATTATTATAAATGCGAAAGTAACTCTGTCTGTCTGTCTCGCTTTCACGCCAAAACTACTGAACCGATTTAAATGAAATTGGGTACACAGATAGTCTAGACCCTGAGAAACCCATTTTTTTATAAACTAAAGTAGTTGTTTACGTTTAACGTTATTGTTATACTTTTGTATCGGTTTTAATAAAGTCTTTAATTCTTTAATCACTTAGCATCAGGTGTCTATCCCCAATACTATAAAAAAACCAGGACCTACATTGCCAGGAATGAGGCCTCTATCTCCCCCTTACTGAGGATGCTCTCCCCCTATAAAGAGAAGGTTAGGTCCCGTTTTCTTAACTGGTATTATTTTTATTCGATTACAAAATAATAAAACGAAAATTGTAAACGGGTTTGTAATTGGTTTATTTTATTTTAATTAAAAGGATTGTTTATTTTCAATTTTCTCTTAATATATATATGATTTATTAAATTTAAAATAGATATTACATTTCTTATAAATAAATTATTCCAGGAAATTGAACTGTAGTAAACAGATAACCCGAAGAATTTTATAAATGTAAAAGAGTCTGTGTGTCCGCAAATTTCATACGTTATCGACTAATCGGCTGAACAGAATTTGATGATTGCTCGCATGAAGATGATGTAAAACGTCATCTTTGTCATTGGAGATATATGCAATGAAGTTAATGAACAATTTACTACAGAATACGAGAATATAACAGAATTATTAAGATTTTTTTGACGTCTCCTTTATACGAACATACATTACAATCTTGTCGTCATATTTTAATGATCTAGTGGAGAAAAGTCATTGTTAATTAATACAGCCTCGTTGGTCCAGTTTCATCGCGGCGATTTACTTATAATGGCAACTGGTTCGCTTCCTCGCATGGTACAAACATTTGTATTCATGAGTATGATTGTTGTATCGATCTAGGTATTTTCTACGTATATTATGTATGTATTTACAAATATATATACATATATCTCTATATTTATGTCAGTT